TGTACACATGCTTGCGCCGCAGCACCAGGCACTTTTAAAAAGCGCACAGTGCTGCAGCGTGTACATTTGTATAAACAGTGAAAATGCACGTTAGCGCAAAGAAAATGGCACTGGCACTCTCTTGAGCTAAAACATCGAAGGTGTTGTAGTTCAAAGGTGCACTGCTGCCATTTTCTCTGCACTGACGCACATTTCACCACTTACACAACTGTATGTGATTCAGCGCTGAGCACGTCAGCTCGCGTGTAGAGCAGACTCAATTAACTGGCTCTCCAGTGCATCACACCACAAAAGCATAGTGTATAAATGTCCTTTATGCTTGAATGTGGCAACAAGATGAAGTTAAGCTCGTTATAGTATTTTTTCACTGAATACAGTGTATCAGAAGTGTGGCATTCCTGCATGTCTCCTTGTGCCTAGGTGTGGTGTTGCCCTAATATCTTTGCCCAGTTGTAGGTAAATCTAGTCACGTTTCTATGTTTCGAATAGCAACTATTTCCTACTGACCTAAACATCTCCTTTATTAACAAGCTATTAACAGGAAATACAGGAAAGTTTTTACCCAGGTGTCTTACGGAGTCATATTCTGTTGCGGTTTATCAGTTCCCATTAAGTCCACCAGACACTTACCTCTTTCTTAGGACTACTTCCTAGAGCTAGGGTTTTTTCCTGCTGCTGCAGCTCTTTCCCAAGCAGCACATCATTTCTCATAGACTGGGACTGCTGCTGGGAGAATTTCTTCCAGGAGACTGAATGTCAGTACACTTAACCCTCCCGGGGCACACCAGTCTTGAGAAGGCACAGAGGGAAGCAGCTCCCATCCCTCCTGTAGATCTGAAGGGGAGGGAAGGAGCAGCCACCAGCTGTTTCCCTGCTGCTTCTGGAGTCCCTGGTTGGTATGAGATTTGCTGCACTGGGAGCTCAGTGGCAAGAAGCCACACAGCCCTCTGCCCACCTCTCACACCAAGATGCTGGCAGGGACTTTGCTTCGCTGCTCCTGCTCCCCAGTTCCCAGGCACCAGAAGCTGAGCACAGGGAGCTGCACTGTCCCCAGTTGACTTTTCTTTGCCCCATCCTGCTGCTCTGGGTGATGGGCTTTGCCCTGCTGTTCCTCTCCAGCCCTGGACTGGCCCAGAGCAGTAAGGCACAGCCCAGCTTGAGGAAGCCGTGCTGCTCCTTTTCTTTCTCAGACTGGTTCAGGAAGTGGGAGGAGCAGCCACCGCTGTTCTCTGCTTCTTCCCTAAACTGAACAGTGCCCTGTTTAGCGTAGCAGCTAGAGGCTTTGCTCCAGTGCTCCCTCTGCTCCTTTCCCAGAGACTGGGAGCAGAGTGGAGGATACTTTGCCACCCTGCTATCCGGAGTCTGGCCTAGGGCACATGCAGGGAGACGTCACTGTTGCTCCACTTCCCTTGGAGACTGGGTGGAGTGGAGCAGGCACCACTCCCCTTGCCTGCCACAGACCGGTATCACCATGGGCTGGGGAAGACATGAAGAACAGGGGAGACGGGGCAGCTGCAGCCTAAACATCTCTACTGCTCCCTCTCCCTCAAAAACATCCCCCTGTACAAATGACCGTCTGTGCTCAGCCTGTCATACTAATGCCATTTGCTGGGCATCCATCATTTGGGTTATGGTTGATTTGTTATCTATTAGGCATTATGATAGATTAGGTTAATTCGATCAAAAATTTTTAAAAAACTGTTAACAAAATGTATTTGAAAACAGCCCGCATTTTAATTAGAATGTTTAAGGATTCCTATAGTTGCTTGTCTTTCTGGGGCATGAAAGGCTACTTGCCCACTGGACTAACCTGCCCTTTGCTGAGCAGTCTTTCTGCAGCCCTGGCTCTGCTTCTGTTTCCTGCTTAGCCTGAAGTTGGATCTGGTATGTTCTCTATAGCAAGGCTCTAAGAAGACAGAGAGACAATTACTTCTTGCCTTGTGTGAATTAAAGTAACTTGCCAAGAGGAAGTGCATACTCCTGTGGGGCAAAAAGCAGCGCTAAGCACTGTCTCCCAGTTACTCAAGGTCCAACATACATGCATGTGGCTATAGGAGGTATTCCCTCATAATTTTAGGGGAATAAAGGATTTAGGGGAATAAAGGATTTAGGGGAATATCTGGGGGGTGGAAACTGAGTAAAACACAGAGGTGAATACATTCAGCCCTTCTGACGAGAAAGGCTCTCTCTCTTTTGAGCCTCCATACAAAATGTCATGTGTACGACTACAGCCAATAAGCATAAGAGCAAAGAAAAAATCTTACGGATAAATGCTAACTAGCCCTCCACACTCTCCTTTACTTCATCACTACATTTTCCCTTTGTCCAACCCATTATCCTGTTGGGGATTCTTGCGCACACACAAATTAATAAAGAAACATGGCACTTTCCTGGGGTTATTTTTAATGCCAGGCAATTGGTGAACTTGGCTGTCCCTGGGTGAAATGGATATAATGCCGCTGTACTCAAGGCAAAAACAGCTTTTTTAAAACCTTCACTGCCCTAATTTGAGCAAATTTTTACCCTAAATTACATATCACATCTGAGAATAAATTTATAATGAAAAGTTTGACAGATCTTAAACCACATGCCAGTACAAATGACATTAATAAAGTGACAAAACCTGCAGTGGCAAAATGTTCAAGGTCTTTTCTAAGTGTCTTCTGGTGTCTTGTCAATTTATAGTTATCAACTTTACCTGGACTCCAGCCACCTATAAAATTTCCCATATGCAGCTCTGCCTGCTTTGGAATGATAATGATAATGTTCTCTCTCTTATTCCACATGACACAGTAATTTCATAGGATTAAAAACCAGTCCAGAAGCATGCTAGATTAACTGTACACTTCAGTTGTTTACATCATTTTGAATGTAAACAGATGGTAATTAAAGACTCAGAAACATTAGCATGCATTTGTTCACTACGAACAGATTTGTATAAGTTTATAAATGTCACAATAATATAACACAGTTCTTATTCAAAAACTGTATGAAATACTTTGTACTTTATTTAATCCACCAATTACACGTTTTACTGCCTCTCTCAATTGTTAGAATTTTATTCAAGACCATAACCTGGATTATTTAATGAATTCATGAATATACAGAATTGGATTTATTAATTAAAAACCTATGGCTAAAACATTTCATTTATTTTAAACACTGGTACTGTTACGGTAGTCCTGTGATAGCATGAGCCATTAATGTGAATTCAGAACATGTGTTTAGTTCTTTGCTATTACAGTATTACCAGCAGGAATTGTTGTGGATATAGCTAACTCTTCTTATGAATGACAGAAATCTTTTACATTGCTACACCACTTGAGCATTCAACTGGACAAAGACCTCAAAAAGGACACAAGAAAAATTTACTGCGAGGACCTGAAAATAATTCATTTAGCATAAGTCATGCATGTGGATTATCTCAGGATCACTATTCAGTTCTTGGGAGCCTTGTAGCTTTAAAGTCTGCAAATGAAATATCAGCATATTTGTGTAGGATAGCTATTCATTCAAATCTTTAATGAAGGCGACAACAGCCATGTTTATCATCTATGCAGAGAAAGTGAGAAAGTGACTGGAGGCAGTCTAGCATGGTGTCAGTACAAGCAAAGGATCTTGATGTCTCCTTAGGAGCACAAGCATGTGGGAGGTGTGCTTATTTACTCTGGGTGACAGCATGTGTAGAATGAGTGCAACAGTGCTTCCCTCTCTCAGAGAGATGCTGTGAGAACAACTCCATAAATGCTGGGGAAGCATTCAGTACTATAATCATAAACACCATATATGGAGAAGAAAAGGCTTGATTTTTTTCCAAGTCATCCAAGATATACTTTGGCCAATATGGCTAGAGGGAAACAAAAGGAAATTGTTTTGACTTTCTTACAAATGCCCTTCAACTTATTCCCTGCTGCTGTACATGTACCTCTTTCAGAGAATTAAGAGCCTGATGTCTATGAGGCTCATTAGCATTACTGCATGAAGCCCCTGCTAATCCTTACTGGTGGATTAAAACTGTATGTAGCTGTTTTAATTCAACTCTGCCAAAACTGGTATAAGTCCCTACACACTATTACAGTAATATAGGATTTGAAAGTAAGATTGAATGAATAAGAAAGAATTATCAGGGAATATGAATATAGTTCTCAACTAAACCTCATTCTTGACTTTGATACTATATCTATTGTCTCATTCTCCTTTTGTGATCTGGGGCTAAAAGAAAATACAAGATTTATGTGGAGGGGATCCTTCTCCACAATTCATGTCCTTTGAAACTAAAAGACAGGGAAAAGTTATCTTAAACTCATCCATATACACAGAAGTGTATGTTAATTAAAGACTTAAGACAGGATTCCAATTGGTGCCTTAGCAATCTAAGCTCCAAAGAGCAATTCAAATTGGCCTTGAGCCAGCAGCTACAAAATGCATTAGGCACTTCCATTTTGAACTGCATTTTTCCCTAAACATCTGCACTAGAGCTTCAGTTTGAGCTCCCAATTTAGTTGGTACACCTAGATCAGTGGTTCTTGGCCTTTTTTGACTCAAGGCACCATTTGTTGGACTTACAGCACCCCTTGGAAGATGCCAGCTCTTAGGTGTCACTAATTCATTGACCACAGAAAAATAGTAGAGCAACTCTACCACTGCAAAGAACTCTAAAATCACAATGCGTCAGAATATTTTTGACATTTTATTTGAAATCCCCTATTTTACCTTGTGAACCGTGTACAGGTGCTTGCATACCTAACAGTACTAATATTGCCTGGCACCCCACGGCATCCTTAAAAGGCTCTCAGGACAGAAGCATTGGCCTAGATGCACCAGGGTGCCTAATTTCCACCTATACCCCATGCTGGTCCTTGGAAAAATCTTTTCAAATAGGAAGGATTTTTTTGGTACATAACTTAAATCATCAGCATTGAGTTTAACTCAAAGACAATGGCGACAGTGGCCTAGAGCGTATAGCACTCACCCAAGAATTAGAAGATCTGGATCCTAAGCCTTCTACTTCCTTAGAGAAGTCCACCACTACTAGGCAGTAAAAGAGGTTAGAGGAAGGCCGTTCTCTACTCACCTAGTATTCAAGCTGGGCTTCTAGGAAGCTAAAAATACATGAGGCATAGGACCCAAAAAGAAGCAAACAAGATGCAAAGTGACTCAGTAGCTTAGTTTCTGTGATGCTCCTTTGGAATGGAGAAGGCTTTGGTTTTAGTCCCTGCTTCCAAGTACTATGTCAGGTACCTAATCTCCTGAGAAGAAGAGGATTTTAGAAATTTCTTCACATGCCTCTCGGCTTTCTGAGTTGTGCTCTGGAGATGCTGACCACTTTCAGTTCCTTGGAACACCTAGATATCTAAACTTGAATCAGTCTTAGGCAATCCTAAAGTCTCTCCATTGACCATAGAGAGATCCTAAACACCTCACTTGGTCAAACTAAATCAGCTGCCAGAGCAAGGAGCCAGATGTGCTACACAGGATGTAGCACTACAAAAAAACAGATCACTCTGGAGTATGTATACATGTACCAGTCCCCTGGCTGAAGCAACACTGAGTTGCCAGAAAGGTACACTGTTCTTCCAGGGGGCAAAAGGGGACTGCTGCTTAGCTCCTGAAGCCCCCAGTACACGGGCGACTGGTGCCATCTGAGTTGGGGGGGCACCTGTCCCCCACCAACGGCCAGTCAGCAACTAGGGGGTGTCCCCCCCAAGGCCAATTGTGCTGACTGATGAGACAGCTGGTGAGACAGCCCAAGAAGTGGCCAAAGAAGCAAGGGCTGATTGGGACGTCTCTAGTCTGGGGCTGCCTGCAAGACTCCTGGAGTTGCTGCTGCCCTTTAAATTTCCTGACTCATGGTCAGCCCTGTGACCCTTACTTCTTGGCACCAAGGGGGATGGGCAAACTGCCAGGGGCAGCAAGAGCTGACTGATCAGCCTCTGCTACTGCTTCAAGTTGGTCCTTACAGGGCTCCCTAACATCTCCCTGCTAGGCAGGCTATCAGAGAGCCAGCCAGCTGCTCTCTCTGGGTGCAGGGAGGGACAGCAAAGCACTATGGGATACTGGGAATCATATAACTTTATTCAGATGTTAAATTTGTTGCAGAACAGTTTTGTTTCAAACAACAACTTCTTCAGGGTAGATTCACCATTTTTGTACTGGATTTGCCATTTTTATAGCATGACAAACATGTGGCCATTCATGTTTTGTCTGAAATGCTCTTATAAAGCACAAGATATGTAAAGTCTGCCAGAGCTCTAAGGAACCAGTCTGAATCATGGTTTTACTTCTAATTATATATTTGTGTTTAAAAAAAAAATGAATTAGACTACTAGAAATCATGCAAAAAATAGAATAAGGCATCCCACAAGTCAAACATTTTTACATGAAAATAAAAACATAAAGAAAATATTACTAGAAGTAAATCCCCAGGTTGAATACACAAATGGTGGTAATCTGGCTTGAATATATGTTAAGTCACAAAAAGCTATAAATGTGGATCTACAGTCTAATAATAAGAAAATACAGGATTTTATAGTTTTATGGCAATATTCTGGCTGGAAGAACGTGAAGTGGCTCATATAATATATACAACTAGCTCCATAGAAATGCTGGGCACTTCTAGCGTTTATACTGATGTGAATTTCATGTGATAATAATCAGCTTCTCACCTTTGACTCATCCAGTTCAAGCTTCTTCAGAGACTTTCTGACATAATCCAGGAAGGAGGAAGATTTGGAGAAAATTTTCCCAACATGATGATCGCTACAAAAAAACATTGAGATACATATTTTTAAAATTTCCTACAATAAAAGGTTACAAGTTATTGTTTCACAAATTCAGAATCTCTATAAAACAGAGAAAATAAGTGGGACAACCAAGTTAGAAAAATAATTGTAGAGTGGGGTGGGCAAAATACAGTCTGTGGGCCAGATCAGGCCTGGAAATTTACTGGATCAAGCCTGCAGCTTCCCCTGCAATGCTCTACATGGACCTGAGCCCTACCCGCTTCCGCCAAGGCAGCCTGCACTGTGTTTCTGCTGACCTGGGCTCCCACCAATGCGCAGCTTCTGATGGGGCTGTTCCCAATGGGGCTGCAGCCAGCCAGATGCTCCTCTGTTCCCCTTGCTTCCAGTGGGAGCCACCAGGCTGAAGCTTCTGCCCTGCCTGCCTGTAGTGGTGCAGCAGGGGCAGAAGTAAGAGCAGAAACAGCTGCTGGAGGTGAAGAGAGCCCAGCAGCACCTGGCCAGCTGCTGCCACACTGGGAACAGCCCCACTGGAAGCTACACACTGCCTCAGGCCCCAGACCTGGGGCCTGGGCTGATGGGGCTGTTTTGCTCCCCTTGGCTCCAGTTGAGGCTGCTGTTCCTGCTCTTGCTGTGCCACTTTGGGTGGGTGGGAAGCTTCAATCAGGCAGCCCCTGGCCAGCACATAGCTCCCAGCTGCCTTCTACTCACTTCACTTGCCTGGCATGATGAGCAGCCACCTGCAGACAGGAAGAGAGGGTGGAAAGCAGTCTGGAGCTGGAGCTCCATGCACTGGGAAGGAGCTGCCTAACTGAAGCTTCCTCCTGCTTGGAGAGATGCAGCGAGAACAGGAGCAGCAGCCGCAGCTGGAGGCAAGGGAAGTGGAACACCCCTGCTGGCCCAGGCCCCGGCTAGCACTCAGCTTCTGGTGGGGCTGTTCCCAGTACAGCTGCAGCTAGCCCACTGCTGCTGTGCTCCGCTTGCCTCCCAATGACAATGCAAACCTGGCCAGCTGCAGCTGTGCTAGAAACAGCCCCACCAGAAGCTGTGCGTTGGCCAGGGCTGGTGGGTGTGGGCAAGAGCATTGCCATGTGGAGTGCTGTGGAAGCATCTGCTGACCAGGCAAGCTCTGCTGCACCCCAGAATCTTTCCTATTTACAGTTGGGGGCAGTTCTTAGAAACCAGGCTAAATATTTGAATTGGTCCAAGAATAGTAATAAAGCCATGCGTAAAGAAAAATATTTAAAAGCTCCTGCAGACACATAAACTCTTTAGCAAATCACATGAAATCTCTATTCAAAGTTTAAAATAGCTCAAAGAAATTGCATATATTTGTTCTATCTGTCTAAATTTTCTTACATAGGTACCATTATTGCAACAGACAATTCTAAGTCTGATCGACTTTAGCAGTCATATACTGTAGAAATGACATTTTCAAACATATTAGATATTTCTAATACTCTCTCCAAATATTTATGAACAAACAGCCAGGAGAGAGAGAGATTAATTGTATATATTATTAATCTTCCATGAGAGATTAATTATATATTTTAAACTTTTTTTAAAAGAAATTCACCAGAAACCCACAGAAATCCTATTTTATTAGTTAAGGAGTCAAGAAATACTCCTATCAAATTCTTTATATTATTTAGTTTTGAAATTGATTTTACAAAAGGAAAATTGAATTTTTTATGAACATATTCATGATTCCTATGCACTTAAACCTAGGACAAAAGAAGTCCAAAGATCAATTAATGGTTATGCATTTAAAATGCTGTTTGGGAAAAAATATTCATTTCAGTGCATATGTGCTACCAATGTAAAGAGCCTTGTGGATCAGATAAGATACACACCGTATATATACAACTATCAAAAGCAAGAATGGGCTTTTACTGATTCAAAGCCTCATAACTCATCCTCTTAATTGTCTTAGGGCCTTGTTACACATTAATTTTAGGTGGCTTCTGAAGCTCTAACCCCTGGATTGTCAACAGGTTAACACCTGAAACTAGTTTTCAGCACATTTTAGATGATTTAAAGTTATGCCACTCTAGGGCACGTTATTTCTGATCCATGTTACTCAGCTCGTGTTCCAGTAATGTATGGCCACTCCCCACAGATAAGCTGCCCAAGTTGTCGATGTCCAGCATCCCAGGATACAGTGACCCCTCTTCCACCCTCCTGTTCTGTGTGGACAAATTTTCCATCCCCAGAACTCTACTTCCTAGGGGGTGGTTCTTGCACCAAGTCACCTCCCCTTCCTGTCCCCGGGGGTGTGACCTTCTCACCCCCCAGATGTACAACATTGTGCAAACAGCCACCAAAGCACATGACAGCTAGCTAGGTCACAGGGCCATGGAAGGGTTCACAACTGGGGTCTAGTTGGAGGGAGGGGAGAACAATGTAGGGGGCTGGCTCATGTCTCTATGAGCTGGTGCTTCCTTCCCAGGGCAGGGGCAGTATCTCCTCCAAAAGCACCTTTCCTCACTGTTCCCACCTCCCAGCCATCCTAGGAAGCATGACCAGCACCCCCCCGCCCCAACCTCAATGCCAATTTCATAGAATCATAGAGAAGTAGGGCTGGAAGGGACCTCCTGAAGTCATCTAGTTTAACCCCCTGCTTGAAGCAGGATCATCCTATCCAAACCATTCCATACAAACCATAACCTAAACTGTGCACAAGACTAGTGTCAACCCTAACACAACATTGACCTAGCACAGGTAACCTGCCACAGGTAAAGCAGGGGAACCATGGCAGCCAATGTCCTGCTTCTATAAAATGTTATCAATATGTGCTCAAGAGGTCCCAGGTAGAGGGCCACACCCCCAGCTAAGGCCAAAACCACCACAGTTCATACCAGTGTAACCATGGGATAAAATTCCTTGCTGACTGTAAATATGGTGATCAGCCTGACCCTGAGTGGAGGGGCAAGACCCTCTAGCCAGCAACCTCTGACTTTGCTCTCAGCTGTAGCCAATGCCCAATGCTTCTGGGAAGGCTTAAAAATACCCTGACATACAGCAGAAAAGGGGGGCAGGGGTAACCAGCAAAGTCCAGAAGCATGGGAAATACCCATGGTAGAACACAGCCATAGCTACACCTAGATCAACCCCACCCAGTGGCTCTCCAATTTCTTCTTGAACACCTCCAGTTAGAGAGAGTCCACAACTTCCCCAGGCAGTCTATTCCAGTACCTCACTGTTCTAACAGTGAAGATGTTTTTTCCAGACATCCAATCTAAACTTACTTTGCTGCAACTTCAAGGCATTGGTCTGCGTCCGTCTCTCTGCAGCAGGAGATTTACAGTGCTTTTCCTCTTCTTTATGGCAGCGCTTCCAGTGTTTTAGGACTGCTATCATGTCCCCTCTTAAATGCCTTTTTGACAAGCTGAACATGCCTACCTCTGTCAGCTTCTCCTCATATGATTTGCATTCCAAGTCCTTGATCATCTTTGTTGCCCACCTCTGGACTAATTTTTTGACATCCTTTTTAAAACACAGAAATGCACATGATGCTCCAGATGCGGCCTAACCAATGCCAAGTAGAGAGGCACTATCACCTCCCATGTCTTGCACCTAATGCTTCTATTGATGTATCCCAAAACTACATTAACTTTTTGTGCGACTGCATCACATTTCAGATTCATATTGAGTCTGCAGTCTACCAAGACTCCCAAGTCCTTTTCCATAGTGCTGACATCCAGCCAGGTATCTCCCATTTTATATTTGTGTTCTTGATTATTCCTCCAGAGGTGTAGCACCTTGCATGTTTGCATTGAACTTCATCCTGTTAGCTCTAGCCCAACTTTCCACTCTGCTCAGATCCTTCTGAATTGTGCTCACATCCTCCAACATGTTAGCATTCCTTCCCAGTTTTATGCTGTCTGCAAATTTGCTCAAGAAGATTTCTAGGCTAGCATCCAAATTGTTAATAAACACTTTGAACAGCACTGGGCACAGACGCTTGAAATCTCCTGCCATTCTATCATCAACCGGATATTGAGCCAGTTATCTATCCACCTTACAGTCGTTTTACCTAGCCCACATTTCTCCAACTGGTCTATCATGTGGGTCCTTGTCACAAGTCTTGCTAAAGTCCAAGATACACTATATCCACAGCATTCCCTTCATCCACCCAAATAGTTACTTTGTCAAAGAAGATCAAGTTTGTTTGACACAATTTGTTTTTTATCCATCCATGCTGGCTGCTTGTGATCAGCCTTTCCTCCTCCAGATGCTTGCAAATGATCTTCCTTAGGATATGCTTCACTAACTTCCCAGATACTAAGGTGAGGTTAATGGGTCTGTAGTTCCCCAGGTCCTCTTCCTTGCTTGATTTAAAGAGGAGCACTACATTGTCCCTTTTCCAGTCCTCTGGTACCTGGCCCATCTCCCAAAATTCAGTGAAGATCACTGCCAAGGGCTCCAAAATATCTGCCAGTTCCTTCAGGGCCCTGGGATGAAGCTCATCCAGCCTTGCTGACTTGAATTCATTCATACCCAACAAATGCTTTCTGACAGTTTCTTTTGTTGTCTCCTCCCTCAGCTTGTCCCTTTCCTTATCCAGATAATCTTTGTTGCATGTTTGGCTGCAGCTTAATTTTTTGTGAAGACTGAGGCAAAGTAACTGTTGAGTAGTTCTGCCTTCTTTGCATCTTTGGTTAGGAGTTCCCCTTGGCTTGTTAACAGAGGACCAACAGCTTTCTTGGTCCTTCTTTTTTGGCTAACATACTTAAAGAACCTCTTGTTGCCCTTAACCTCCTTTGACAGGTTCAGCTCATTCTTTATCTCTGCCTTCCTAATTTTGTCTCTGCAGGTTCTTGTTATTTCCTGATATGCATCCTCGGTGAACTGCCCATTTTTCCATTGCCTGCATGCTTTCCTTTTGCATTTGATGCATTTTAGAAGCTCCTTGTTTTTGGTCTCTTACAATTTTTCTTATGCTTCCAATGTGTGAGGACAGTTTCTTGTTGGGTTTCTAATACTGCGCCCCTTAGAAGTTCCTAGCCCTCCTGGGTG